GTGGCGAGAACACTTTGGATCTACCCTCTCGGAAAACTTCGTGTATAGAATTTCTCTGCCTTCTTGTATGTAGGTGTCATCCTCAGGCTTGCTTCCCTGATGCTGAAAAATGGGTTGAAGTTGTTTCAGGCTTCATGGCCCGACCTTATCATCCAAGATGATAGAGACCATCTCTTTCCTTGCGATCAACCACAAGAATCGGAATGCCTGTGACCCGAGCCACCTGGAGCCAGTGTCTGGCCCCAAACCATGGCACTGGGGAAGGACAAGTGGCTTCTGTCTGGTGATTGGCTGGAACTGGATGGAACCTGTCCATGCTTCATCCCGTCGGATTGTCAAGGATGCTTTCTCCTGAGGGACTCAGGGTGATCAGAGCCCAGGGCTACACACGAGGCTGGAATCAACCAACCCAAACCCACAAGGTGGCCATGAGGTAGACTAGACCCTAGAGAAGTAGCCAATGGGTCTCATCTAGGGGAGAAATTTGGGGAAGTGCCATGATTTGCTCTCTCCCTCCCAATATTTTTCACCTTTGCCACCTCTCCAATCTCAACATTATCTCCCAGAAATATCCACATGTGCAGCAGTGGGAACCTGCATTTGTTCCCTCTGGATGTTCTCCTGCCCTGAGCCTCTCCTCTCTGACCCTGAACAGATTAGAACTAAGTCTCTTTCACCATTGAACACAAAGAGCTTCCTGTACTAAGAAACTATTTAGAAACAACAATTAAAACCTTAAAAAATTGGGGCGCCTGGGTGGCGCAGTCGGTTAAGCGTCCGACTTCAGCCAGGTCACGATCTTGCGGTCCGTGAGTTCGAGCCCCGCGTCAGGCTCTGGGCTGATGGCTCAGAGCCTGGAGCCTGTTTCCGATTCTGTGTCTCCCTCTCTCTCTGCCCCTCCCCCGTTCATGCTCTGTCTCTCTCTGTCCCAAAAATAAATGAACGTTGAAAAAAATAAATAAATAAATAAAACCTTAAAAAATCAAGAAAACAAAATTTTCAAACCCCAAAGGCTATAATAACCTTTTCCTCCCCACTACCTTCCACTCCAAATGTCCCTGCTGCATGGGCAGGGCTTGAGAAAGGTTTATTGAGTAAATTAATGAAATCTACAGTAACTGAAGTCTGTCCATGGATGTTTCCACTGCCTTTGGGGTCATAAGTCACAAAGAGTCCATGTTCATTATTCACGG